CTGATTCACTTTGTTATAAGGCAGAAACTAACACACCATTGTAAAGCAAATTATACTCCAATAAAGAAAAAAAAAAAAAAAAAGAAAGAAAGAAACTGCCAAACAGTTTTCCAGAGTGAATGTTATGCCTTGCAATCCCTTCAGCAATGAGTGAGAGTTCCTATTGTTCTGCATTTTCTCCAGCGTTTGGTTGTCCACACATTTTAGAGCGGAAACTGTCCCCCCACCCCAACCCAACTTCCTTGTTCCTTTTGGCCTCTGCCTGGATTACCAAATAATCTGTATTCCTGCTTTGCAGCCTGCTGGTATTAGTGAAGGTAATGATTTTAGACTCCTTCATGTTTCCACTGTGTACTAAAACACTCTTCCATTTTTAACCTCCTCACAGACCTATAAGGCAGTTTCAGCATTCTTAAGTTGGTATGAGAGATAACAGCACCCTGCCTGAGAAGAATTTCCTTCTGACTTTCTCAAACCTCTGCTTTTGTGAGCCTCTTAGCTCCCTACTCATTTCAGCTTCTTTTTAGCGTAACTAAATGAATCCACTGAAATACAAGGGTAGTCAAGGGTCTTCACAAGACCCTGTAATGGCTATGGATCCGGCAGGATAGACCACTCCACGTGACTTTCCAGCTGGGTGGCTGGGTCTTAATTCATCAGGAAGGAGCCATGTGTCAGGCCCCTGCTCAAAGTCCCTACCTCCTACCTTGGCAGCTCACACATTCTTGTAGTCATGAGAGTCTTCATTTGACATCTCTTCTCCATGTTTCATCTGACTGTTCTCACTCTGTGCAGATGACTGATAGGCCACATAATCCTTTAAGGCCAGGAAACTCCCTGACTGCATGACAGGTTGGATGTGGGTCTCTGGACCATCTGTCCTGCCCTCTACATGGTCTGTGTTTGAGGATGTCGCTTCCTTCTCCTCCTGCTGCTGATTTCCACTGGGATCTGGTGGTACATTTTCATAATCTCTGCAGCACTGAAAAGTTCCCCAGGGCTGCTTCCCTTGGATGGTCTGGAGATCCAGCACTGCCATGTTGACATAATCATCTGAGGTCTGAGAAGACCCTTCCCCATCGTTGAGTGGATAACTGCTCTCAGTTCCTGGAGACCCCAAACTGGTGCAGTCACTGGCGTTCCCACAGCCCTCATCTATTTCTTCAGTCAACTCCAGCGCCTTGGTACTTGGGAGGATGACGAGGTTCCCAGGAGGGCTGTTGGTAGAAGCTAAAGTCTCAGCAATCTCCTTTGCTGTGGGGATATTGACATAATCTCTTGAATCCTCTGAAGAAGTGCTTGGGCAATCTCTTGAAGCTCTGACATTGACATAGTGCGCTGAGGGAGTGAGGTTTCCACACATCTGGGGCCCCATGGTATTGTCATAGATGCCCACTGCATACCCCATGGCATGAGTATGGGCTCTGTGCACATGGAGGGCATCACCTGCTTGGGAGGGCTGTGGGTAAGAAGAGAAAGCCAGTGACAGGATAGAAGTAGAAACATGGACAAAACCTTTCTTCTTCCCTGCCCAGTACTACTACATCTAATGGTTCTTCCTCTCAGTTCTTCACTTTGGAGAAAAGGTCTGAATCAGGGATCTCAAACCTCAAGGCTTCAGAAGTAAGTGAAGTAGGCTGAGTTTAAGGAAAGCAGCAGTGTAAATTTGACAATAAATTGCAACTGTTTTTGGCCACACTGTGGGGTTTCAATGGGGAGTGGGGGAAGTATTATGAATTGGAGAGAGCCTGCCACACCCCAGAGTACACTGAGGCATGGCATGGTGGTTAAAGGTAGAGACTTAGGCTCAGACTGAGGGTGCAAGTCCCAGGCCTCACCACTCTGCTGAGTTTGGGCAAGTTACCTAATCACACTGTGCCTTAGTTTCCTAACTTATAAAATGAATATAATCATACTAATATCTACACCATGAGGGTTTTGTGAGGAGTAAATGGATTACGGACCGTAAAGTGTTTAGAATAGCTCCTGGCACAAAGAAAACACTAAAAAATGCTTGTTGTTATATTAGTATAGGGGCAGCTGACACGCAGGTCAGCTGATTATGGCCAAGTAGAGATGCTAGTCTGTTGCTTCCAGAACTTCTGATTTTCAAGAAAAGCTGGACATCTGGACTTTAATGTGAAGTCTTTTAGGTTTTTAAATGTTGCCAACTGGTTCAAAATGTCCTTCAGACACTACAGAGTACAATCCAAACACGTTTGTGGGCTTAAGCCAGTTTGAAATCTAAACTCTAGATGCAAAATTCCCTCAGGGCCCACCTGAGTCCTAGAAGTAGCTTTAGCAGTGGAGTTTCCTCTGCTCTTCCTTTTATCAGCCACTTAGACTTGCTGCCCCAGGAAGTCTTAGAAGCAGGAGCAGAGCCCGAGGATGGGACATGCAAGAGGAAGGGGAAGCAAAGGTGGCAACATGGAGTGGCCGCGTGGTAATCAACCTAAGCCCCTGAGTGAAGAAAGGCTGGGTAACAACCGAATTAGCAGCAGCTGCAGCATGGCTGTACTTACCCAAGGATGGTCACAAAACCAAAGGAATTGATTCTTTTAGCAAGCTAATGAGAACTTATCTATGGAAATAAGCACCCTGATCTTCAAATTAGTCCCTCTACTGTCCCTGGTGTGCCTCGTCCTGGGGAGCTGCCTTCAGAGCCAGACTACAAGACACAAGGGATTATTGTTATTAATTGTAATAGTCCCCTTGTAACCTCAAAGGTATCCCTGACGTGCTCAGTGCTTTCTACACCAGTTACAGTGCTGAGTGAACTTACGAGTATTTCTGCTATGGAGGAGGATTGAAACAATTTGACATAGGCTCAGAAGTAATTGCCAAAGTAGGACTTTAAGAGTATTTTGAGTACCAACAGCACTGTTGGAATATTTAAGCACCCTCCCAAGGTGATTACTCTGAAGGGGACAACACTCATTTGGAAAACACATTTCAGTTCTAACATCGTGTCCTTGAATACATGTGCCCTGGTGCCTTTCCTAAAATCCCAAGTACTTGCTCCTCTCTTCCTAAATTTTTTGCCTTGGGTGGTAGGGAAGTCCTGAGGCTAGTCTTCCCAATTTATTAACAGGGCCTAGGGGGTGGGGGGCAGGGTGGTGGTGTGTGTGTGCCAAAGGACATGCTGTTTGCAGAGGCTTAGAGCCAAGACCTAGCACTCTTGCACTTCAGCTCTTCTGCCAGAGACATATCATTTCTCCCAAACGGGTTGTCATTTCACTTGACTCTTACCACATGCTCAGAGGGAGGCCTGTCAGAATTTCTGGAGAGGAGGCTCTCGGTACTGAAAATATGAATACTTCTTGACAGATGTCTTCCTGAAAGGACAGAGAACAAACCCTGAACATAGTCAGCCAGTCCTCCAAGTGCTTCAGCCTGTACAATTCCCACATCTTGGGTGAAGTGGGTTTGTGTGATGTCTGGGGTTTGGGACCTGGTGTTCTGTGGGGAGAGGGTCAGAGCTACAGGGATGATGTGCTAGGAGACACGGAACCCTCCTCAGCTAGCTGAGGACAAAAGGACACTAGCACAGGAATTGAGGAGGCTGGGAAAGAGGCTCCTGGGGTGAACCCTCCCTGCCTTGAGGCTGGAGGCCATTTTGTCCTTCTGTATGTCTTTCCCAATGCTAGATGTACCCAGCTGTCACCTGCTAACTTACGTCAAGAAAAACTAAAGCTGCTGTCTATGTAATCAAACCATCATGCTGTACTCCATAAACTTATACGGTGATGTATGTCAATTTTTTATCAATGAAATCGGAAAAAGAAACAAACAAAACCCCCAACCCAGACGACCTCCCGCTCCCTTCTTCGAGCTCTCCAAGCCCCCACTGGAGTTGCATCTTGCAGTCTATGTATCCCATTCTCTCTCATGCTCCCTGAAGGGCAGAAAGGTCTGCAACTTTAGAGAAAGTTGCATCCAGGTGAGAGGTACATTCCGGGGGTAGAAGTTCTGTAGGTCTGGACTCCATGGATTAGAAAGAAAAACCTACCCAGCTCTTCTTGTCTTCTGGGCAAGAGGTCATAAATATTTTTGGCTCCTTGTCTGGGTCGAGGCAGAGTCAGCAAGGGCATGATGGTAACTTGGAAGTAAGGAACTCGCCCTGCAAGGCAATGAGAGACACGGAGGTCATGGCTGGGCCCAGCTGCACAGAATTCGGGGCCCCTTGGGGATGAGATGGTCCCTGAAAATATTGCCCACCCTCACAATGTATCATGAAAAATACGTTTTCAGACTTGACCAATTCCCTTTGAGCTAGAAGCATAGGGGACTCAGTGGACAGAAGCAGGGCACAGGGATACCAGGGCAATGACTTTCAAAATGGAACTCCACTCAGCACTGAGCCTTATGGAGCCACAGCTTAGGATCCCAAGGGAGACAATGACCCGTGTGTCAGGTAAGAACAGAGGACTGCCCAGCCCAACAGTTTATCTCTGGAGGGTAAACTGGGCTTTAAATACCAGGCTAGTTGATTGATCCTAGTGTGTCTCAACTTTGGACAAACAAGGGACTCACGCTTCTTCCATTTGCTCCAGGTCCACAGGATGCAGAAAACTGCGACAACCAGGAGGATGGGAAGGAGTCCCGCAAACCCAGAAAAGATGTTGCTGTTGTGGGCTTTAGCTCTGCGAGGAAAACCAAATGCCATGACCCAGCCATAGGAGGGTGGGAAGTTGGAGAAGATGCTTCCTTTAGGAGGTAGGGCTCGAGGATTTGGAATGAGAGCCCGGTGAAGGAAAGCTGAGGTGGGGTGGGCTGGGTGGTGGAAGAGAGGGTCATATTCCCTTGGAGAGAGGGAAATAGGACATGGGAGAAGGGACCTATCCTTTTTGAAGGCCTACTGGATGCCAGTGTTTTGCATGTGAACCTTATTTAATCTGTACAACAATCCCATTTCTCTTTGTGACCAAGGAATCCGAGAATTAGATTCAGAAAGGTAGAGTAACATGTCAAAGATCACATAGGTAGGAAAGAGCATGATGGAACGCGAGTCTAGGTCTGTTTGGGCCCAACGACTGTTCTTTCTATGGCTTCACACTGTCTTCCAAACTTGTAATGTCAAGTCCACCTGCTCCCGCTTCCCCCATTCCCTGCTCCTGGGCTTTCTGTCTTGCTTGAAGGAGAAGATTACCCAACTTACAATTAGGGAGCAGCTCTGGGACAAGAGTCCAGGTTGCCTGCACTTGAATAACCCCTGTAGCACCAACTTGTGGAGCTGGTCTCCAAGAAACACTCTGTTGTTCTGCGGAATTTAACCAATGCAAATGCACGGAGCAAGTTCTGGGTTACTTGCAGTTCCCAGGCAGGCACGGAGTTACTGCTCTGCTTTGCCTGTAAGAAGCAGCCAACTGACATTACAGAAGGACTCACTAGCAGACCTGCTCCCCCAGTTACTAGAAATCAGGTCATCTATCAGGGAAGATTTTTGTCCTCCTGAGTTCTAGGCTTGTTTACCCAACTCTGTATTGGACATTTCCACAAGGTTGCCTAATAGACATTTCAAACCAAAAATGTCTGAAACAGAACTTCTGTTCTCCCCCCACAAACCTGCCCCTCTGTTGTTTCCCATCATCTAATGACTCGGCCAAAAACCTTGGAGCCATCCTTGAATGTTTTCTTTCGTTCACACCCCACTTCTAGTTAGCCAGCAGATTCTGTCTGCTCATCCCTGGGCATCTATCCAAACCAGTCACCTCTTGCTCCTCCAGCACCAGCACCCTGGGCTGAACCACCGTGCATTCCACGTGGACCTTTGCAAGAACCTCTCTAATGGGTCTCCTTGCTTTCACTCTTGGCCCCAACACACTATCTTCACACACGGACCAGAGTGATCCTCTAAACTGTAAATCAGATCACGTCCCTCCTTTGCTCGCAACCCCCCATGACTTCCTATCACACTTGGGATAACATCCATAGTCCCTACCCAGTAAGAACTTCATGGCCTCTTCTGTTCTGGCTTCTGCCTGCCTCTGACCTCATTTCCTACCACTTTCCCTCTGACCTTGACCTCCAGGACTCTGTGCTGTTCCTGGCAAAGCTGTCTGGTCTCTCAGACCTGCTGCTCCCTCTCCCACAGCTCAGTCCCTCATCACTCAGGTCTCTTCTGAAATATCACCTCCTCAGACAGGTCCTCCCTGGCCACACCCTCCCTCATACTCTCAATCCCCTTACTCTGCCCTGGTTTTTCCTCAGAGCACTTATGACTGACTGACATTATGTTATCCATGCATTTGTTCATCTGTTTCTATCTGACTCTCCCACTTGACTGTAAGCTCCAGGAGGTCATGAACTTGTCTGTCTGGTTCACCTGGTGTCTGGAACAGTGCCTGGTACTCAGTAGGGGCCTGATGAATATTTGTTAAATGAATGAATGAGTAAATTATCAAACAAATGAATGAATATAGAAATAGGATTTTTTTTGCCAGGGGAGTTGCAGGGTTCTGACATTTTACGAATTCATTCCCCATCAATGCCTCTGTCCACCTGCAAGTGACATGTATTTGTTTGTCATGGTAATGATACTTATCTCCCCAAACTACAGTGATTTAAAATTTATTATTTTGAGCTGTGCTGTTATGATAGCACTGAAATTTATACCTCCCACTGTCAAAGTTTCAATGGCTGATAGATTTTTTATTTAATATAATATTGAAGTTTTAGCTGTAAAATTTACATCTATGATTAGTTCTGTGGGGTTTTATGTTCTAAGGATATATCTTTATCATATCTATGACTCCATTTTTATTCATGGCAAGTTTTTAGGGCCTAAAAACACATGAAAAAAGTGGGCTTTCTGTTTCCATCAGAGTGGGAACTAGTTTTTGTTTTTGTTTCTTTGAGGAGTGATTGGTGGGACCTGAGACAGTAATGATCGAGGACAGCAATCAGGGCCTCTGAGCGTGAGAAATCCAACCAGGCCAGGCAGCCAGTTCTAAGGAAATGCTGTGTTATCATATTTTGTCTCCCCCTATCAACTCCTTTTTCTCCTCAATACCCATTTCTTTCCTCCAAGCAGTTCTGAGTAAACTTCTCTGAGCCTAGAGTTTATTGGTCTCAGGGAACCACCCTGGTGAGGGGTGGCAATGCTGCTGGGGTAGAAGCCTCCCAGGGTAGACCAGGGCCCTCTGTCTAAATCAGGGGAGGGGAGAGCTCACCACCTGGGCCACTTACGTGTCTGGGCTGCCGAGGGTTCCCTGCAGAGTGCTGGGCTGTGAGGTCCTCCCTCTGATTTCTGAGGGGGTCGGTATGGTGACATCCATTATCCCAGGACCGTCTCTGGCTTCAGCTCCTCCTTCTAAGCCTTCTCTTAATCGTCATCTGCTTGCCAGCCTGTCTGCCACTTTCCCTGGCTCTTCCTAAATTGCTGACTCCTAGGAGAAAAGGCAGAATTGGTTTGTGTTTTACATATAATCCTGTGTGGTATAACCACTTTTTTTAGTAGATAAGAATGACAGAACTCCTCCTGGTCTCCATGTCTTCCGAACATTCCCTAACATACAACATTTTACTCTCAAAATTCATCTTCGTAAATCTTTATTTACCAAAGTCCCTCACAAATAAAGTCTATTGGTTTTTATTTCTTTCTTTCTAAAGCTTCCCATCTATCTTTCTAGAACTTTCTACCCCCCAATCAACTCCCTACTTTGCCTCTATCCCTTAAATGTCAGGCGGACTTGACCCAAAATATGAAACAACAGGTTTGGTTCTACCTGGATGTAGCTGCGATGCCGACTGCAGGAGGGGCGAGCTCCTCTGGGTGTGGTGCTCCGCAGCGAGGCTCATGGGGAAGCCAGGGTCTCTGCCTTGTGAGGGGGATGTGAGGGGCACTGATGGGGAAACTGCCAAGAAGGCAGAGACAGGCTCCGTGAGAAGCTCATCTTCCCCCAACCCCCAAAGCAGAGATAAGAGAGCAAACACTTTGCCAGAATGGAAACAGAGAGTCAGCTACAGGAAGCAACACCACCAACGTGCTAATGAAGCATGGGGCCCAGGAAAGGCTGCTCAGCTCTTAATAAGGTAGAAGCAATCATGTCTGCACCCCGTTCCCTGGGCTGGCCGGCGCGCTGTGTTCTGGGGGGAGCGTGATTCAAGATGGGGCAAGGTGGTGGGGGATTTGTGATTGTTCGCCCTGGGTTTCTGAGACACTGAGAGTTTTATAAGCCTCCAGATTTACAATGTTTGTTTCAGCACTGGGAGGTGCTTTTTAGAAACAAATGCAGATCTCTGGCACCGGCTGCTGATTCGTGGGCGGAGGGTGCAGAAGAGGACTGGTGGTTTTCATAAACACTTCCCAGGTGATTTTGACAGAACTGGTCTGTGTTTCACATTTTGAGGAACTCTGCTCTGGGTACGAGCCCCAGAATGAGGCTGAAGCAGGATTGACATGGCCCCGGGGGCCTGCCCTTGGGGCCCCCGGCTGCTGGCTGGCTTGCTTACAGGGCTCTTCAAGAGAAGATCCATCCCAGTCTGGCCTGTTGTGCACCTGTCTCAGAAGCTGGAAGATTCACTCCCCGTGTCTACCCAAAGTGTCCCAAACGTCAAAGTTTTTTTTTTTATGTAAAGTTATTATTTATTTACTTTTGGCTGCGTTGGGTCTTCGTTGCTGCACGTGGGCTTTCTCTAGTTGTGGCGAGAGGGGGCTGCTTTTCGTTGTGGTGCACGGGCTTATTGCGGTGGCTTCTCTTGTTGCTGAGCACGGGCTCTAGGCGCGTGGGCTTCAGTAGCTGTGGCTCATGGGCTTAGTTGCTCCGTGGCATGTGGGATCTTCCCCCACCAGGGATGGAACCTGTGTCCCCTGCATTGGCAGGCGGATTCTTTTTTTTAACATCTTTATTGGAGTATAATTGCTTTACAATGGTGTGTTAATTTCTGCTTTATAACAAAGTGAATCAGCTATACATATACATATAACCCCATATCTCCTCCCTCTTGCATCTCCCTCCCACCCTCCCTATCCCACCCCTCTAGGTGGTCACAAAGCACTGAGCTGATCTCCCTGTGCTATGTGACTGCTTCCCGCTAGCTATTTTACATTTGGTAGTGTATATATGTCCATGCTACTCTCTCACTTCGTCCCAGCTTACCCTGCCCACTCCCTGTGTCCCCAAGTCCATTCTCTACATGTGCATCTTTATTCCTATCCTGCCCCTAGGTTCTTCAGAACCATTTCTTTTCTTGTTAAGATTGGCAGGCGGATTCTTAATCACTGTGCCACACGGGAAGTCCCTTCAAAGATTGTTCAAAGTTTTTTTTCTAGCTTTCTCCCCCTCTTCCTTTTACGCATTTCCTGACACTCTTT